AAATACCTAGGAATAAATCTAACCAAAGATGTAAAGGATCTGTATGCTGAAAACTATAGAAAGCTTATGAAGGTAATTGAAGAAGATTTAAAGAAATGGAAAGACATTCCCTGCTCATGGATTGGAAGAATAAATATTGTCAAAATGTCAATACTACCCAAAGCTATCTACACATTCAATGCAATCCCAATCAAAATGGCACCAGCATTCTTCTCGAAACTAGAACAAGCAATCCTAAAATTCATATGGAACCACAAAAGGCCCCGAATAGCCAAAGTAATTTTGAAGAAGAAGACCAAAGCAGGAGGCATCACAATCCCAGGCTTTAGCCTCTACTACAAAGCTGTCATCATCAAGACAGCATGGTATTGGCACAAAAACAGACACATAGACCAATGGAATAGAATAGAAACCCCAGAACTAGACCCACAAACGTATGGCCAACTCATCTTTGACAAAGCAGGAAAGAACATCCAATGGAAAAAAGACAGTCTCTTTAACAATTGGTGCTGGGAGAACTGGACAGCAACATGCAGAAGGTTGAAACTAGACCACTTTCTCACACCATTCACAAAAATAAACTCAAAATGGATAAAGGATCTGAATGTGAGACAGGAAACCATCAAAACCTTAGAGGAGAAAGCAGGAAAAGACCTCTCTGACCTCAGCCGTAGCAATCTCTTACTCGACACATCCCCAAAGGCAAGGGAATTAAAAGCAAAAGTGAATTACTGGGACCTTATGAGGATAAAAAGCTTCTGCACAGCAAAGGAAACAACCAACAAAACGAAAAGGCAACCAACGGAATGGGAAAAGATATTTGCAAATGACATATCGGACAAAGGGCTAGTTTCCAAAATCTATAAAGAGCTCACCAAACTCCACACCCGAAAAGCAAATAACCCAGTGAAGAAATGGGCAGAAAACATGAATAGACACTTCTCTAAAGAAGACATCTGGATGGCCAACAGGCACATGAAAAGATGTTCAGCGTCGCTCCTTATCAGGGAAATACAAATCAAAACCACACTCAGGTATCACCTGACGCCAGTCAGAGTGGCCAAAATGAACAAATCAGGAGACTATAGATGCTGGAGAGGATGTGGAGAAACGGGAACCCTCTTGCACTGTTGGTGGGAATGCAAATTGGTGCAGCCGCTCTGGAAAGCAGTGTGGAGGTTCCTCAGAAAATGAAAAATAGATCTACCCTATGACCCAGCAATAGCACTGCTAGGAATTTATCCAAGGGACACAGGAGTACTGATGCATAGGGGCACTTGTACCCCAATGTTCATAGCAGCACTCTCAACAATAGCCAAATTATGGAAAGAGCCTAAATGTCCATCAACTGATGAATGGATAAAGAAATTGTGGTTTATATACACAATGGAATACTACGTGGCAATGAGAAAAAATGAAATATGGCCTTTTGTAGCAACGTGGATGGAACTGGAGAGTGTGATGCTAAGTGAAATAAGCCATACAGAGAAAGACAGATACCATATGGTTTCACTCTTATGTGGATCCTGAGAAACTTAACAGGAACCCATGGGAGAGGGGAAGGAAAAAAAAAAAAAAAGAGGTTAGAGTGGGAGAGAGCCAAAGCATAAGAGACTGTTGAGAACTGAGAACAAACTAAGGGTTGATGGGGGGTGGGAGGGAGGAGAGGGTGGGTGATGGGTATTGAGGAGGGCACCTTTTGGGATGAGCACTGGGTGTTGTATGGAAACCAATTTGACAATAAATTTCATATATAAATAAAAAAAATAAAATAAAATAATGAATGAATCAATACAAAATAAAGTTAATTAATTAATTAATTAATTTCTAAGAAATACATTTAAATTTAGCTTATGAAAATGCTAAGCACCATTGATTCAACATCGAAGAGAAGTCCTTGTAAATAAGTTTCTAGATTGGAAAAGAGTTCAGGACATGTCTGATAAAATCAAGTTTATGGCTCTTTTTTTGTCTAGACAGCAGTACTCGTATGTGGATAATTGGGTGTGACTATTGGCCATGAACACCCATAAAATGACCCTGTAAAATCATGTAGAATTAGTTTTATTGAGACAGATAGCCAGTGGCTTGAAAATGTCCTCAATACCCATCGCTGAGACAAACACTTGCATAAGGCTTTTTAGGCCATGATCTGAATAACATATTCTTTTTGTTCAGACTCCTCTTCTAGTTGTTATCAAGATCTTCCAATCAGTAATTCAAAAGGTTTTCTTTGTAATATATATCTTTATTTCTCTTCTTTGAACAAAGCTTCAAAGATCTCAATATCATATATATATATATGATAAATTTTTCTTCCTAATTTTTTTTAATCTTTTTCCTTTATGGTGCCAGCTTCTAAAGGATTTGTGTCTTGAGAAGAATGTCAAATGTGAAGCTTGTGTTTCATTTGGCAAAATCAAACAGATTAAAGGGCCAATTAGGAAAAACTGTCATCACCAATAACCCACAATTCCTTAAATTGAAAATTTAAAGCCCTAATAATACTCAGGGGTCACAATGTAGTTATCTGAATACTTAACAGGTTTTTTTTAGCCAATACCAATTGGAAGATTAATTCTTGCATTTCAGTCTTTGGATGTCATGGCCATGATCCTTCCTTTTAGGACTTTCTTTTGAGTATGCAGTGAAGATCCCAGAAGTAATTATCTCTTCAGTGTATCAATGTATTACGGTTAGTTTTCAATCTGTGCACAGATGGTAATGTTTCTGTGGTGGAGGGGTAGTGGAGGAAATATTTCATCCATTTGGAATCTTATCCATTTTAGGTATAACTAAAAGGTCTGCAGGGGTACTATTCCAATGGGCTGATTTCCAGGCATAAATCAACCCTCTACAGTATTTACATTTTTGAAAAGAGTCACTTATTTATCTCCTTAAGTCAGGATTTTTGTATCATCCAATTTTCTGTGTCACCTATATCTATGACCAAACATATTCAATCACTTCAGATTTTAATGAAACAGCACAATTCTTTCCAAAATTTCTAACTGAAATACACAATGATAAATATATAACTAAGGGATGCTCTGAAGAACAGTTTTTTTGTGATGAAATATAGTTCACCAAATATAGCTTAAACTTGAGGATGTGTTGTTGACATGAAACCTATATAAGAGATTCCCTGAAGGGACTGGTTGCCTGAAGAACCAAATCGCATTACTCTACAAGGGAAATATGGAACTTCAACATTTTGCTTTGGCATTATTGACTACATTGGGCTTCATTGTAATTTTATTGAGCATGATTTTTAGGTCATAATTTCTCTTCAAGACAATATGAATTCTCAACTTTGATCTAGCTATGGCATTACCTACCCATGTATATGCTTTGACCTGTATATGTTTATCAGATATAGATTTTGTAATTTGTGATGCCAAAATAGATATGACTTTTGTCATATACCATCATGGACACCTGACTCACATAGCTTCATTCTGTGGCAGCAAGCAGTGCTCTTTTTCAAAGTCATTATCTGTGTAGTTAGTTGTAAGATGGATTGCGAAACATATTGTTACATCTGTCCCGGGCTTGTGATTTATCCATGCTCTATGTTAAGGAAGTCTTATGACCATATCTGCAAAAAATGACCTCTTACAGATTTCATGCATCTTTCATTTACCAAGCATAAAAAAGACAATATATACAGGTTTCTTAATTTGGGATAAACTTTCATGTGGTGGTTGTAAACATGGGAGATATCCATTGGCCAATAATATTCTATCCAGTCAAGAGTTCATGTCAGAGTATTTGCCATGGTTCATTGCATATAAATTCACATAAAGTCATACTCTTTCAGCCACATGAAAACCTAATAAGAGGTCAAGATGATTGAAATTGTGACCATTTTATGAATTCTTTGGAACTATATAAGTGAGTTTTCAGATCATGACCAATAAGCCATTGTATTATGTTGTTAGTTCTCTTAAATGTCACAATTTTGACAAAAGCAGAACAAGGAAAATACAATAGTGTACATATGTTTACTTGTATATTTAGGCCAAAGAAAATTGCAAAATGGAGTGAGAACCAGAGCACAAAAAAGTCTCATATCCTTTCAATAAATTTTCAGTAAAAAAGTAGTTTTCTTCCTGAGAGTGCTTCAAGTAATATAGTCACTAAATTGAGAATAATAATTCATAATGCTGGTTTGGTGACACTAGCCAATTCAGAGTGTAAATTAGAACTTTGAGCATCATTTGTTGCATATCCTTATTGTATGTAATAATGGAATCACATCAGGATCTGGAATTCTTATATGTGTTTCTTCATGGATACACACAATTTTAAGTTTCATATTTTAGTCCTATAACCAGTAGAACTACTTAATAGTAGTTTAGATATAGAAAAATTTTCAATGACTCCAAAGTAACCCAAAGCAGTTAAAATCCCATAAAATTACAGAGATTGATTTTATCTTGTATGTAGAATGAAAATATTAAACATTGTACTGAGAACCAGTGGATCTATTTTTTTTCTCAATTTCAATATAAATTTCAAGTTCAAACAAAAGATTTTGTAATAAAATCACATTGCATTTATCAGTCACTTATTCAGAAAAAATCCATATCTCTATCCAAGTTACCTAATGTGTAAATTTGTATGCCCTAGAAGAGCATCTTCTCCAGTCAATTGCTTTTTGACATATATCTGTGACCAAAGAAGACTAGAAATATACTATCAATGCAGTGTTTCAACCCTTGGTAAGATGTCTTACTCAAAGACACATTAAGAGAAAAACAGGGAAGGACTGAATCTTGAATGTTCCCAGCTCTTAAGAATTATAAATCCCTGAAACAAAGTTTATAGAAGGAACATTTATTTTTCACTTTTGAGCGCATAGATAGGATTGGGTAACATGAGTTTCTTTCAAGAATTCCTTGTCTCAAGCCCCAAATAAAATGCCTAGAGAAAAGTAATGAGTTCCAACATGTTCCGACAATCCTACCCCAGAATTTCACCCTCACCTATGATGAGTTTGTCTTTACCATAATCCTCTTGATCATGACTTTCAGTCATCATCACTCTTGAAGACAATAAGTTCTCACTTTTGACCCTAGCTATGACATTCCAAATGCATACATACACTCATACCTGAAGATGTTTACCAGACAATTGTGGTACTGATTCAGACAGGAGTTTTGATATATTCAGTGCTAGGCACCTGACTTATATTAATTCCCCCAAGTTTAAGGCCAAACTGTGCTCTTTCTCTGCAATGATGATTTTAGGTGTACAGGAACAGGACAGGTATCAACACATAAACCTAAGTCTCTCTTGGAGTATGGTTCTTGAAAGCTTTTCCTTAATGATACAATTTGGTCAGTACTCAAAATAATGACCTATTACAGAGGTTGTAGACTACTGATCACCTTACACATGAATTACACAATACAGGTTTTTTTGGAAAGCCACTCAGATAGTGTCAGAAAAACACAGCATTCCACTTATCATTACATATATATACATATATATGTAATTTAATATATATACATATATAAATTCAAAGGATGTTATAACAATATCATTTGGCATGGTCCATTGCACATGAACTCTTCTAAAATGACACACTTGAAGCCACATGAAACAGTATTTGCAAAAAAGTATTAGGTCACTGGGAATAGTACTCATTTCCAAGAAGTTTCCATAATTCATAGCATACAACTTACTATATTGAAAATATGACATTAACATAATATTTAAGAGCTGAAATTCATCTATGTTTCTCATTAGTAGAATCAATTTTAGGTTTAATACAAATAGAAAATTACTTAATTTCACATCGTTATCATTGTTGACAGGATCCTTTATTAAAAGTTTGTCAGTGACTTTAAAACAGCATGCCACTATTAGAATATCATTTAAGCTTAAAAATATATTGCTTTAGTCACATAGACACCCAGATAAGTATCAAATATAGATCTGGATACCAATGAGTCAAAATTTTCTTCACTATTAATCACATCAAATTCAGGTAATAAGTAAAAACTTTGTCATAGTATCACATTAAGTACACCAGTAATTCAATAAGAACACCCCAATATCCAGATTGACTAATGAATAAACCCTGCTTGAGGATGAATCTTTACTAGTCCAGTGACTTATGTGGAATTAATCTGTCACCAAAGTATGCCATTCACCTCTTATAATACAAAGATCTAACTCTTAGAAGTATGTCTTGCTATAAGACACCAAAAAAGCCAAGCATGGAACCTAAATGTGTGAAACTATTAGGAATTATATTTATATATTTACATAATATTTATATAAATATATATTTATATATTTAGTTTTTTGATGTTTATTTTTTAGAGAGAGAAAGACAGAATATGAGTTGGGGAGGGACAGAAAGAGAGGGAGACACACAATCTGAAGTAGGCTGCAGGCTCTGAGCTGTCAGCACAGAGCCTGATGTGAGGTTTGAATACACGGACTGGGAGATCATGACCTGAGCTGAAGTCGGAAGCTTAACAGACTCAGCCACCAAGGCATCTCTGGAATTATTGGTAATTTAAATAAATAATTACCCACTTATAAGCACGTAGACTGTTTCAGCCAAGTAAGTTGATTTCAATGTTTCATTGCTTCATTTGAAGTTTAGGCACCCATCTAGCATATCAGATTCACATACATATAGAAGAAATTTATGTTTCTTTGTAAAATTAATTTTATTAGTTTGGTTTTCAGGAGTTTCAATCTTTAGTCGCCAAATTTCACCTTTTTCTATAATATGATTGCTCTTTTTACAACACTATTTGTCAATCCAGAGGTAGTATCATGCCAAACATCTGTTTTTCCTAAGTAGGTAAAATCTTGTAGTTCAGTACTATTAAGTATTTACTGTAGTTATTGAATAACTAGTTGTTCAGTTATACAAGTGAAGGCTTATGAAAATTCCTTAGCTATTTTTTTGAAGCAGGATTTCATTTCTGGATGGCCAGTTCCAAATTCTTTCCCAACTCCATTCTCCATTTTCTCTATTGCTGTATCCTGCATTAGGTTTTTATTTCATCTTGTTTGCATCTTAATTACATGTTTCTGCAATTGTCCCAAAGCACTAAATATGTTCTTCAGCATTTCATCATTTCTATAAAAATAAGGTTTGCAATTTGGTCAATTTTATATTTACTTATAAATATAGTATTTAATAAATCTCTTTTAGTTTCATAATGGCACCATTTTAATCTTCACATAAGAACTTTTTATAATGGTAAAACCTAAGGCATAGAAATAGAATTGAATTAATCCACATTTTCACTAGTAATATTTGAAGGTATTCATTTAATAATCATATAAATTTTTTAATGTTTATTTGTTTAAGACAGAGAGAGAGAGAGAGATCACGAGTGGGGAAGGAGCAGAGAGAGAGGGAGACACAGAATCTGAAACAGGCTCCAGGTCTGAGCTGTCAGCACAGAGCCTGACACAGGGCTGGAACTCACAAACTGACATCATGACCTGAGCCAACGCTCAACCAACTGAACCACCCAGGTGCCCTATAATTTAATAATCATATAAATCTAAAGTATGGAAACTGGGGATTGCTAAGTCCTAAACGCTGTAGGTTCATTTTTATGTAATGATATATTTGGGGACTTCCGAAGTAACTAACTCTTAATATTTGGGTAGGAATGTTTCTTCCTCATTTGCACATCTATTTCAGTATGGTTAAATGGGCCCCTTATGGCTATATAAGACTGAAAGAAGTTGGATTTTGTGTCATTGCTCAGGAATTGTCAGTTTGAATATAATTGTATTAAACTTGATTATGTAAATTCTTTCCCATCAGTATATTCAATAACACTGAAGATTATTTTTTAAGATTGCTTTTTTTGGTAATATTGATCACTTTATGACACTTTAAATTTTCTGTTTATTCTAAATTTAAATGATAAAATTCGTGGATCTGATGTACTATGACAAAAATAGAGGATTCTTGAAGTGCTCAACCCATATTCGAGACAACTGATAATTAATTTAAAATTCCTTGAAGTTAAGCGACACAATTTCAAAAGTAAAAGGTGAATACTCTAAGTTTCATGCACCTTAATATTAACTAGAATAAATATCAAAATTATAATGGTCAAGATAATATAAGAAGACATTAACAAAGCAACTTATCTATCCTGTCTATTAAATATTTCTCTTCAGCTTTCATGTTATTGTTTTTTTTTTAATTTTTTTTCAACGTTTTTTTATTTATTTTTGGGACAGAGAGAGACAGAGCATGAACGGGGGAGGGGCAGAGAGAGAGGGAGACACAGAATCGGAAACAGGCTCCAGGCTCTGAGCCATCAGCCCAGAGCCTGACGCGGGGCTCGAACTCACGGACCGCGAGATCGTGACCTGGCTGAAGTCGGACGCTTAACCGACTGCGCCACCCAGGCGCCCCAGCTTTCATGTTATTGTAAGTAACTAAAGAATTTATCCTTAAAGTTCTTGATTTCAGAAAGCTGAGATTTCTCTTCAGCTTCCATGTTATTATAAGTAACTGTCTAAATAATTTATCCTTAAAATGTCTTAATTATCCTTAATAATTAAAACTTGCTCAATCGTAGGTGTTGGTCTCATATGTGAAGCATGCATTCACTTGGGTTCTTCTTTACCTTGATGGTAGTACATTATCAACATCACCTGGTAGGATTCTGTCTAGTGTGATGATCACCAGTCTGTCATTGTTACACTTTAATGCAGACCAAGCCTCCTGTTCCATAATGATAATACACTTCCTCAGGGGGATATTTTTCAGCACCTGGTCACATAATGGCATAATTAGCCCAGGGAAACCCACAAACTCTTTATTATATCTGATTATGACTATTTTTTCATTGTACCAGATAAAGGGTTAGGCTTAAACCCTAAATTTATAAGTTTTCCAAATTCAAAGAAAGAAGTACATACTTACAACAGAGAGTTAATATTATTTTTAATAAAATCAGTGGAATTTGGGTCACTGTGAGTCAGCAGCTTGATTTAATTTAGTCAAATACTTTCTTATGGAATGGTTTATTCATTCCACTTGCCTATCAGATTACACACGACTAACAGTTACCAAATTTTGAGTCCTTATAAGATACTACAGAGCTTGTGAATTACCACAGATACAAAATGACTTCTTTTATTGAATTATACATGTTTAGGAATTCCAATAGTTGAGATGGTATAATTTAGTCAGGCACTTTCACAATGTAAGCATCAGCTTTAGCTTACAGACATATGTGTGGTCATATAGACATCATGTACAACTTTACTAAAAATATGTAAAACCTTCTAAAGTTTGAATCTAAATAAAGTCCAATTGCCATCATATCTCAGGTAACATTGACCTTAGACTTATCTTATATGTTTCTTATAAAGATTTTTTTCCTGACAAACAGCACATATTTGTGTAATTTCCTAAATTATTTAATCCTATACAAATGTTACACAATTCCCAAATTTTCCCCACATTCCTTCTGTATGAATGAGTTTGCTGCTTGTTTGAAAAAGCCACCCACATATATGATTGAGGTAAAAGAAAAGTCCTATAATATAATTCACATTTTCCAATGGTATTCTTAGCTCCTCTTGGTTTCTAATTTTCTAATTCTTAAAGAAGTAAATATTTCTAAAGTCATGGTTAGAAGTTCCTGGATATGAGTAATGGACATTTCACTTTATCAGTCCAAAACTTAGTAACTCTTTTCACAGCTTGGTCTAAAAATTCCCTTTAAAAAAATATTTTATCTTGTCTTCCACTATAATTTTATAATAAATAATATAAATCTTTTAGAGAAATTTCCATGATTCTTGTTAATCAGCATGTCATATTTTAGTTGTTATCAGTGTTCAAAAACCTCTATTCTTTCAAAGTCGGATGGTTGCATAACCGATCACAAACACAAATTTGTTATCAGTATACATATTTAAGACTTAAGGCTAATGTGGAGTGACATCAGCAAGGTGACAGAAAAGGAGGTCTCTGGCCCTAATTCCCTCACAGGAAAATCAATTTAGCAAATATACAAACAAAAATGTCTTTCTGAGAATCACAGGCCTCACAGGTAATGTTTTAGCA